CTCGTGACATAGGGATATAGTCCCAACCATGTTTCGAACAACGTTAGGGTGAAGCTGGTCAATGGTGATGTTGAAGTGGCTCAGCACCTCCACTATCAAGGGGTGCAAGGGAAGACGCAGGCCAGCCTCGAGTTGTTCCTGGAAGATCACTATGTCATTGGGACCATGCTCCCAAGGGAAGTTTCCAGTGGGGAGGCTGTAAACCAGGTCCCCGGGAAGGCGAAAGTAGCGGATTAGAGACCTGAGTCTCTCCGCTGTCATTAAAGAAGGGCCAAAGGTATCAGGCTCCCTCCCTCTAGAAGTGGACGCCATGTCACCAGAGGCCTCCCGAGCCTCCGGGATATGCTCTCAGGCTCCCCTCGAGCTCGAGGGAGCATCACCATCTTGGCTATCGTCCCTGTGGTAGGTATGGCGTGGGTACCCAGACATGGCTGACGACGATTGGGACTCACTAGAGTAGACGGAACGGAGCGGATTGAGAAACTTGAGTAGACTAGGCGAAGTAGGCGACCTCAGAATCCAAAGCAAGATAGCGTGGATGAAGGTAGGGCCGGGGGGGGCTCCCCATTTATAGCCCCCGCCCTCTCAAACCGACGGCCCGGATCAAAGCAGATCCAATGGTCCGCAGGCGCCCTGACCGGACGCCTTCTAAAAACCAAAGGCGATTGGCAGCACGTCTTCCGTGATTAAGGTAGTCGCAGCAACACGACATTCGAAATTAAAAGCCACCTCAGCACGTCTTCGTAACCCGAAAAGTCAGAAGATCTCTTGATTCCCGCAAATACATTTATTGAAGACAGTCAATCAAGTTTGAATTTCGGTCAAATCAGTCCATCGCGCTTCATAAACTCCCCACGCTAAGGCGGCACTCTTAGCCCAAGGAGTGGGGGGCAATTGATGAAGGATGATTTGACCTGACCTATGAAATGGTGACACGTGGACGCCGACTCAGCGTAAGCGGCAGCCCAGCATCGTGTTCCGATACGGTTAAGTGATAGGCCCATAAAGCAGCCCGCTACGGGGTAGCAAGGTAAAGGAGGGGCTCGCCACAATGCGAGCTCCGAGTTCCCCGAGCTACCTCAAGGGATATTCCGAGGCAAACTTTAACTTGCAATCTAAGAAAGCTAGCTCGCCCAAGCTCCCGAACAAGGAAATTCATCCGAGGACCAATTCTACTAAGAGTACTTCTGAAGTATTCAAAGCTCGTTGCAAAGTAGCTCGCAAATGGGTCGCACAAGCTTTCCTCAGGAAACTTCTAGTTAATAAGCCGTACCTGTCAGACTGGGCCACGTCCCTAACTGACGCCATAGTCCCTATCCTTTCAACAGTCTGCGCCCACGTCTCTCAGTAGGCGGAGGCGTGCCTGTCACTTTGGGGACGTGTCACTCGCCCGAGTGAGGAGTACGTCCCAACGGCCACCTGCGCAGCCCTAGCAGGTAACGGGTGTGGCAGGGACCCAGTGGCAGTTATGCCCGATCTCGCAAGAGCACTCCTATAAAAGCCCCCCAGGGTAGAAGAGAAAGACTCTCTTGAGACCTCTAATCTCTGGAATACAGTGATAAAGCGCGACCTCCACTCTTAGCTTTCGTTTTCTCTCTTTACTCCCCATACACAGTACTAACTTAAGCATCGAAGTATTCCCATCGGGCAAATCCCCGGGAATCCTTCCTTTCATCTTCTCAGGTGCCGGTCGTTGCCAGCAAGGAGCCAATCATCCGCCAGGTAGGAGTGCCCGGATCGTGCCACATCAGGTTCTATGGGCCTTTATTAGAAAAGTGTCATCACATCAGCACTACTTAAAGTATTGGTGTTTATTGTGTATGATACCATTATTTGATTTCAATATTTATCAAATAAACAATAAAAAACAAAAACATTTAGACTTATACGTATGAGAGGTTGGGGGAAATTTTAATTTTGATTTTTCCCAATACTCCAACAATTATTGAAATGAAATGGTTACATGGGAGCATTGTAATCTGAAATGGAAGATAGATTTATTGGGTTGTACTTGAAATGTCTATGAAACGTCCAACCAAACTACAAAAGCATAAACATTTAAAGCACCATCTTTTAATTAAATGTTTATTTAAGAAACACCCCATCTATAAACGCCAATGAAACCAAATACATACTTAGAGGGTGTTTGGAACTGTGGGGCATGGGCATTTATACAATAAATGTTGTCACATAAGCACCACTTCAACAATTCCCCTTTCATGCTTTTCCGCACACATCAAGAATAGCAAAAGGTGACTATGGTTTCTATGCATGTCTATCGTTTAGGGAAGAAAGTTCCTCCTAACGGTTAGATGTTTTTTCACTATTATACTGATGTGGTGTATAATAACACCTAATTGTCATAAACGGTTATAATTATTACTTTTTTCAGTTTTGCAAACAAATAAAATACAAATGTTAAATGAAAAAATATACCCTAACAGTTAGGCATTTTTTCACTATTATCGATGTGGTGTCTAATGGCACCTGTAAATACAAACGTTCAATAAAAAAACGTAACAGAACCAAACACCTACTTATTTATTTAGGCTATAAAATTCGTATATTGTTCCCTCTTATTTTTCAACACATAAGCTTAATACAATGCCTCCCAACGAAGCAGGTGATCAGATCCCTCCTTAACAATGAATGCCGACATCCTTGATCTCTCATCGGGACCCACCAAGTACCAACCATGCGACATGCACCCTTGGATGATGACCGCACAATGCTACACTGTCCAACTACTCCTGCTCGGTATTACATTTGCACAACATTCCCGGCCGGAACGTGACGTTTAATCCGAAGCTGCTGCTCCCCACGTCCTTACATCCCGGCCCAGAATGCTAAAATAATCTGTACTTTGAGTTTTTGTAAAGAATAGAACTTCTACTTCTAGAACCGGACCACGTCTACAACCAAAATGGGTCAATATATTCTCGTCTAGCTAGTTGAGTCAGGCCCATAATGTTGAGTTTTCACTTGATGGCTTGATACTACGTACATCTGAATTCTAAAATGGTCCCCAAACAATACTTTATTCGTCTATTATTTGACATGCCATCTCAGCAAATTGGATTTAATTTCCTGCCCATTATTACTCTCTACCCGCGTTGAATTGCAGTCACCCATCGCCACTTTGTATTCTGTGATGTACAGATGCAATGTACTGTACGTAAAGCACGAGTAGAGAAAGTGAATAGGAAATCTAGATTCCCATCTCATCTCAGAAACAATAAACTGGTTGTAGAGTTAATCTGCTGACCTAATGACTTTTCCTATTCTAATTAAGCTAATTAGTCAATTAACTGTTAAACCCGTGACCCAATAAACATTTCAGTTTTTTTCTTCGGTCCAAGTTTATTAATATTGTCTAAATTATATTTTTAATGGTGGGTATTCCTAAATTCTAAGAGTGTTTTTATATAAACAAATCTGCTCTAAATAAGGGTCTGTTTCAAAGTTACTTGAACTGTTTTGAAGAAACCACCAAAAACATGCTTAACCGGTGGTTTTTATCAAACATTGCTTATAGACTGTCCGGATGGAACCCACTTATATAACAAAGCCACGAGCTGTTTACTTGAAAGTCACAAGCTCTACCAGAATCATTAAAATCAAGGTTCAAAATATCGATATGTCCAATATACCGATAGAGGCGTATCAAGCATTTCGATACTTGTTTTTTTATTTATTTATTTCATAACTGGTTCAGGGAAGCCGGTCTAAGATCCCTCCATCCCTAAACCGGTCAGATTCCCGATATATCAACTGTAGAGCATATCAGAAAGGTCCCAGAATGATACATATTAATCGATATGGGCCAATGCGTAACAATACTTTGAACCTTGATCAGAATATCTATAATTAACAATATAATTGCAGTGGTACAAAAATCACATGCAAAACATTACAAAGAAAATCTTCTAGATAATGTGATTTGTCGTAACTAGGATACTGTTGTTAGATTTGGACTGGCCACAGAGCCGTTTCGGTGAGTGGGTCACGGGTTGAATGGTTCCTCTTTGGTTAATCATTCTGGTTCGCTCAACTTAAAAAAAAATGAAAAAAGAAAAAAAGAAAATAGATCATGTGAAACACAAGTAAATTGGTTTGGCCAACTCGGTATTTCTGAGAATTAGGCAATCAAATGAAACCTTTTTTTTTACTGTCTATTCTTGCTCTGATGGTTCAACCATCCGGTTTGGTTTAATTCTGACAACGTTGATCAAGTATTTTACTTTCTATATAATTATCATATAGCATTCAATTGGCAGTTCTTTTTTTTTACGTAAATGGGTAGCTCGGCCTCTTATCTATTATGTATTAAGTGGATGAGGATCCCATCTATGAGACAGAACTTCATGCGCTAGCTAATCAGGCAATTAGTTCGTCGGTTGATTTGTTTCCCTAGCTGCATACTTGTACATCATGCCACACTCCATAGCTTTGATAAGTCTCGAATCGAAACACTCCTCCACGATAGACACGAAATCATCAAGAGAGTTTACAATTGGCACTTCAACCCACGTGCAATGCAGAGAATGTACGTTCGGCTATCACCGCCAATGAAAATAATGAAGGTTGTTGGGGACGGAAACTGTTGGGTGGTGGTCGTTGGCCACCGAACTTCAGCTCATCCAGGTTTGGTTGGGTTGGGTTGAAGGTTTGAAACAATTCAAACCGATCCAAACCCGGTTTTGTACTGGATTTGCATTTGGCAGCAAGCAACACAACCGGCTTTAAACCCCAAAAAATCATGTGGGTGTAGCGGGTCATTTGACCATTTGAGACTGATTAAGTAACTAACCTGAAGAGTGAAGACCAAAGAACCGGGCCGGATCAATCCGGTGGGCAATGGAGCTGTAGTCTGTTCTCCTATCCATAGACCATAGACGCTCCTTTCACTGTTCATCTCATCCTACACTCCGTGGAAATTTTTATATTAGAAAAGGGGAAGATTGTATTGTAGCCATGTGGGTTGGGTCCTTTTGCCCCGGCAGCCGGAATCTCCTCCACAACGTCAACTCACGCTTCCCTGCTCAATCTATTATTTTCCTTTTGTCAATCTGGGGTTGGGGACCATTTGCACTACTCTCTGACTTTCACTTCCCACTTCCCCGTCTTTGATGAAAAACAAAAGTCTGGAAATAGTTAAAATCAGATTAAATAAATACATCCACCCTCCCATCACACACTCTCTCTCTCTCTCTATCTTTTTTATGGAAATCCTCTTCCCCCCACCAAGCAAAGCACATTTCACTTTTTCTTTGTTTTCTTGCCTCCTCTTTTCTCTTTCTCCGTTCTTCTGTCTCGTTGAGATCTACATCAAATGGGTTGCTCGCAAGGTAGTTGCGTCGACTCTATAGACTCTCTCAAGGTCCATGATGGTGAAAGATTCGAGACAACTGCTTCTTCGTTAACTGAAAATTATGATTTAGATGATAATGATCCCGAAACCGTAACTGTTTACAGAAGAAACATGTTCTGGGAGCTGGGTTTGGGCTGTGTTCTTCCTCTAAGGAGGCAACGTGGTCGAAGAAATGACCAGAAGCAAGGACAGAAGAATAATGAAGACGGTGAAGAGCACAATAAGACGTGGTTGCTCGCAGGGTTTGGTGGGGGTGGTCCTGAGTTCACTGGTGCGGACCCACAATCAGTCCACTCTTCTTTCAGGTTCAGCTTTGGTTCACAGGTGGAGCTTGATGCACTGTGCTTCGATTCTTCTGCTTCTGCCGCCACTGTTCTAATGGTGAATTTGGATGCCGGCTTAGCAGCATCTGGCGTAAGAGATTTGAAATGGAGAAGAATTGAATCTTTGGAGAGGAGCATCTCTCCGGTGGCCGAGACGTTGGTCAGGTTCAGTTTTGGCGAAATCCAGTCCGCTACAAGGAATTTCTGCAAAGGTATAACAGGTGGTCTTTTGTTCTCAGCCATAGATGTTTTGGGTTCAGGATTATAATGGATTTTGTTTATGTGGGTAGACAGAATACTGGGGAGAGGAGCTCTGAGCTGTGTTTTTAGAGGCAGAGTTGGGTTTCGAAGAACTGCAGTTGCGATTAAGCGGTTAGACAATGAAGACAAGGAGTCTGCGAAGGCGTTCTGCAGGGAATTGATGATTGCGAGTTCTCTCCATAATCGAAATGTTGTTCCACTTGTGGGTTTCTGCATTGATCCAGAAGAGGGTCTATTCTTGGTCTACAGATATGTTTCTGGAGGAAGTTTGGAGCACTATCTGCACGGTATCTTTCTCAGTCTTTTTTTATTTTGTGGGAAATTTTTCTTTAACTTTGATCAATTTGATTGATTTTTCAAGAACCCATTTGCAGATAAGAAGAAAGGGATAAAGGGTCGTCCCTCACTTTCATGGCCTGCAAGATTCAAGGTTGCGACCGGAATTGCTGAGGCGATAGCCTATCTACACAACGGGACTGAAAGATGTGTTATTCACAGAGACATTAAACCTTCTAACATCCTACTTTCTTCCAAACAAACTCCCAAGGTGAGAGAACGGATTCCTTCCAGGCTCATTCTATTGATCAAACTAATGTTTATATAACCTAACAGTGTAAAAGGGTGTTTTCAGCTTTGTGATTTTGGATTAGCTACATGGACTGCTGCCCCTTCAATGCCTTTCCTCTGCAAAACTGTGAAAGGAACATTTGGGTGAGATATCACATATCAGCAAAACAAAACAGAAAACGGAAAAACTTCCTGTTTTTTTATCCTCTTTTGGTTTTCCATACAGATGTTTGATATCTTCTTTCTTTGTCAAATTGAAATGTAATATGCAGTTATTTGGCTCCTGAATATTTCCAGCATGGGAAAGTCTCTGATAAAACGGATGTATATGCTTTTGGGGTTGTCCTACTGGAGTTGATAACAGGCAGGAAACCAATTGAGGCCAAAAGACCACCTGGAGATGAGAACTTGGTTTTGTGGGTTAGTATTTCTCATTCTAATGTATTTATTTACCTACATTGTTATTAAATTATTTTTCTAGAGTTTGCATTACTTCTCCCAACAAACTTAGATCTGTCTCTAAGTATGGTCTATTAATTATTACTGATCCTATGGTGTTAACCATTCTCAATGAACATTCAAGTGATTTATATAGTCCAACCTCAATTTCGTTTATTAAAATTTTACAGTTCATTGAGTCAGTTTAATTTTGCAAAAGCGTACATCTCCAAGATAAATTATGTTTATGGGGTATACCTAGAGGATATTAGTAAAATTCAGGTGGCTGAAAAGTTCCATAGAAAAGAAATTGATTTCTGTTATAACCAAACCCAGAATAGTCTTTATTGGATAGATTTGGTTAGGTCAAATGCAACAGCAACATGAATGATAGGAATTGAAAGTTAGATGGACCTTTGTATTGACATTTAATCATCTTGGCTAGAATGACTTAGAAGAACTGTTGATACTTAGTGGTGTTATTTGAGATTTGAATCCGTGGTTTAATAGTTAATGGTGGTTTTAGTGTATACATATATTGAATCCTTCTAGTTGAAAAGAGATGTATATAAAGACTAATTGTTTTTGCAGGCAAAACCGCTTTTAGAACAAGGAGGAGCAATGCATGAGTTGCTCGATCCAGAACTTAAACTTGGTCAACACAATTCTACTCAAATGACTCAAATGATTCAAGCTGCCGCTGCCTGCATCAGCAGTGAAGAATCAAGAAGACTAAGCATTGATCATGTCATTGCTATATTGCGAGGGGATGAATGTTATAACTCAAACGGGAGTATACCTGCTTATGCTGGGAATGGCTGTATTCTTGATTGCTATCCACATTCACAACAGACAAAGAGTGACATGCAGAGTCATTTAGCTCTGGCTATGCTGGGGGTCTCAGACCTCGAGGATGATGACCACTTCTACTGTCGTTGAAACAAATCACAGATAACAGTTTGTTTCTGCCACTTTTCTTTTCTTTCTTTTTTTTTATATTGCCTGTCCGGCAAAGGAAAGAGAAAACTAGTGAGAATAGGTGGAAGAGAAATGAGTACAAAAACTTGTACATAGTGAAGAATTCTAATGAGGGATTGTGTGTGTTTGTGTTTATATCTTTCATTCACCCATCCCAAATCTCAAGGAATGTAATGAAGTCTTGTTCTCAATCTTTCAGGTGTTAAAGAGTGCCACATTCTGTCAACTTATTTGCCTCTGTATTTTTCATTTTCCCAGTAACCTAGATACAGAGTACTACCAGAAATTAACTGTTTCACAATACATTAAAGCAGATGCTCTATAAAGAAAGTGGCTATTCTCATGGAATTTTAAGGCTGCATTTGAAAACGGTGCAAATGGAGTGTAAATCCCGGTTCAGGGTAAACTTGCACTCTGATTCACTTTTGCTTGTGTTTGGCAACATTACATTTATGCATTGATAAATGACAGACCAATGCATATTTACATTGATAATAAGATGTAAAACTACATCAATAAAAAAGTAAATTTGCATTCAAGTGGGCTTTTGATAAAAAAAGCATATGCTTTATTGGAATTTGTGTTTTTGATAAAAAAAGCATATGCTTTTGATAAAAAAAGTAAATTTGTCAATGTAAAATTAACCCAATTTTGCAATTTATATGAACTGATTTACACTCTACATATTTGCATTCACACTTATCTGCATCGTTTCTAAACGCAGGCTAAAGAAAAATGTGGGAAGTGGGAACAATATTGATGTAATTCCCAGAATAGAAAAGAAGTTGCCTAGATTTAAGACTCTTAGAATTGATCTTGTTCTTAGTCCAGCAGTCCCAAGTGATAGGTAGAACCTCTATAATAACCTATTTACAATATCAGTGGTACAGTCCATATCTTTCATGTCAAGAACAATAGTATGGCCTAGAAAATCCAGCCTGGAGAAGGCTCAGATGTTCTAGTATTTCTCTGTTTGGATGCCCATCTAATAAAACAATTAATATGAATATATAATTCACTGCATGGTTTCTATATGTTGATCAGAAAACCAGGCCTGGAATACTTAGCAAAAGCATGGGCTTGGTTTTACCGATAAAGGGTTTTGGACTTTCATCAGCTCATGCATTGTTGGAAAGGTGATACAGATTGTTCACATACAGGCTATTTATGTTGAAAAATGAAAAATTTCCTTGTCTTGTTGCATCAATTCAGAAAGTCCTGTGTTCATTAGACTACAAGTTTCAATGTTGATGGTCCACCATTATCCCTGACCTACTGTTAAATGTGACTCCCCTATGATGTGGTTTTCATGTGTATGCACAAAACCAGGGTGAATGAGAGGCCCTGTTAATTAATTTTGAGTTGATTTGAGTGAATCACTACTTGGTAGAAGGTAACTGAACACTTCAGTTTGAAGCTAGCAGATCTGTTTGTCTGAAATGTTGTAGGCACAGCTAGGATGGTCTTCTAAGCCCCCTTGGAGTAGATCTAAAGATCTTGTCTAGGTTGAAAGTTGAACCATTTAGATTTATGAATTGATGTGTGCACACATACAAAAGAAGGATTTATGAACTGATAGGCTATATGCGAGGTTCAAACTACAAAGTATTGATTATAAGATACATATCGATTGTTAGGGTCACTGGCACTCTAAATACAAGGACTTTGGTGATTTCACCTGTTTTAAATGTTAATAGGTGATGAGATGTATCCCCTGACAGATTACCATACCAAACAAATGGAAAAAAAAAAAGAGTTTTGATTTTGATGGAATGAAACTCTGGATTCGTGATTTTTGCATAAAATTAAGTGTCGATGCTTTGAACTTTTGCTATATGTTAGGTAGGTGGGTATCTTCCTAGTCCTTGATGGATTCTGCCCCCCGGGTCGACCATGTATTTCTTTTATATCACAACTCCACCATTAAAGAAAAACATTTTTTTCTATTATTTTATGAAGCAAGTATTTTTTAGATAAAACAGGCTTGTGAAGTGATGTTTGTCAAGATTACTACACAAGAGCAATGACAGCTATGGTGGAAACCTTAAATAGGTCCTAATGCTCACTTTGGAAAGAGTACAAATGCATACAAATGTATTTATCAAAATTCATGGGTGGATATTGATTGGTCAAAACTCTTTCCCTACCATATCTTTCCTGTATCATAGATTCTCCCAGTGCAAATACATGCGAAATATAATGTTTTGCACTCTATATATTTGTATTTCTGCTCCTTTCAATGTGAACTCTCTTTTCATGTGGCAAAATTCAGTCTAGCAGACCAGCAGTCCTTTGTCATCTAGTAGGGGAATTACTTGGTGTATGGTAAAATCTTGGGCTGACAAGTTTTGGGATGCTGATGTGAGTCTGAGTGAGCATGGCTGGTTGGATTTGTTTTCAAGCTAAAATCTGGAACCTACCCTGTAGGGATTAGTTCTAGGTTTTTTGAATCAGAACCTATTCTATCAAGATTTGGTTTCAGGCTCGATTCCAGCTTTGGTGGTTTCAAGGTTGGTTCTAGGTCTACCCAAAGAACCTCTTCTTTCTTTACCTATAGAAAATGGAACATGTTGTTTAAAAAAATTATTCCATAACATTAAGAATCAAAATAGATAGCTATATATGTTGTTGAATTTAATATAATAGTATATATTATGTTTTCCTTTTTTAGCAGTAAGAAATATAAATGTGACATAATTACATGATCACAAATTGTATCATTGAAATCACAATCATAAAACATTTAAACTTGATTTTCAATAATAATAATAATAATAATATAGAAAGCTTATCACTATAATTTCAATTTTGTAAATATGACCTTTTACACTACTTCTCAATTCACTTAAGTGGTACAGCAGTCAAGTACTAAGACCATAAGACCATGGTCTTTGTAAACATAATTGCTTAGCTTCAAATTCTTACATCCTCAATGTATTTTGGGATTTATTTTAAAGCAATAAGTTTGGTTCCAAGGTCTAATGTTTTCAAAATCAGATTAGACCGAAAAACCAGAAACCGGTCATCTAACTGGTTCCGTTTCAGCCCAGGACCACTTTTTTGGCCAAAAACCATTGATTTGATCAATGAACTGTTGAGTCGGGCAGTTTGTGAGGACAACCCGATTATGTTAGGATACTATATAAGTTCAGTCATTTCAGTCTGTGAGGACTTTCGATAGTTGAAATAGCTGAACTGGATGGTTAATTTATAAATTACTTTGTCTTTTAATGAATAATTTATTCAGGAGATTCCAAGATGGCTGAAGCTGAAGTTAGGTTGATTAAAGGACAAAACAATAAATAATTAATAAGTTCAGCCAATTCAGTAAACTATCTACATACATCCAATTATAAACAAGATAAAAGGACTCTTGTATGTTCCGATATTATCCACTTTGAATATAATAAACAGTTATTGAAAACATTAAAGAAGCTGACTGCTGTCCTCTCTCTCTCATTTGTACACAATTGAGAAAAAAAAAACTGTTTAGTTAAGTGGGGGTAGAGATGATTTAGACTTTGTTCATGCATGACTTAATGATATTTATGTTTTATATTTTAATTAATTTGGATATATTTAGTCAAAAGGACTGAAGACATCCTTCAATTGAGAATTTTCTACTCAATTTCAACTACTAAAGCAGTGAGGTGTCAAGATCACTGTATCCAGATGGAAGATTACATATCTTCTCCTTGTTTTAATAGCTAGCATAGTGGGGTTAGGTGTTTGTACACCTCATAAATTATAAACATTATTTTAATCAATATTTATGGTTATCAAGGCTGTTTTACTAAATAATATAATATAATATTGTGGTGTTTATAATAAGTACATAGTAGCATATATAAGCCTAAATCACAATAAGTTGGCAAAGCTAAAGTACCCTAAAAACACATGGATTAGCCCAAAATTGATAGTTAGCTTGTCTTTTTGTGACTAATTCTATAATAGCACGAGAGTATATTGCTTATAATATTCATAATTCGGTATTAATACATATCGATTAACAGATGTCTTTATTTCATTAAAACTAAATTTTTTTTTTTTTCAAACGGTAGTGTTTGAACCGAGGTCGTAGTCAGATGATCCTGTCAATTGGGCAAAGCCGGGGTGGAAGGATGAGGTCACGCTCCGATATCTGAAACCAAGAAAGGTCAGAAGCCTGAGGAGTTATCCCCAAGTAGATACTCCGATGCTCAAGTTAGTTGAGGAGAGTGGGTAGTCAGGCCGAGCAGTTAGAGTTTGAGAATGGTACGATCCGAGCAAAGTAGCGATATGGAAATCAAGAGTTAGATCCCTTACCTTGAGTAGGAGGTACATTTTTATAGCCGAAGATCCGTGTCCTGGTCGAATGAGGCTTTCGGGGTTGTCGGGATGAGGTTAATCGCCGATGTCTTTGGGATAAGACCTATCCCCAGCGGAGTTGTCCTCATCTATACGATGATCTTCTACCGTGGTCGCGCTTATCCACATGATGCGGCGCTGATGTGGCCGAGGAGATAAGGTAGGCTACGGAGGTGACGCGACACTGACGTGGCCGAGGAGATAAGGTGGCCACATAGGCAACGCGTGGCAGAGCCAGCTCAACCATAACCCGAACAATAGAAAAGTAAAACTAAACATGCATTCTAGGTATTAATTTTCAAGGATTAGGAACAATATATATTACATAAGTTTAACTTTTAATCATTATAAAATAATATTATTTTTTAAGGTGTAGGTATTTAAAAACTTTTATACTGTTGTATACTTGTATATATCTATATATATACATCTTAGCTAAGTATTTGACTATCATCGGCACAATTTTATCATTTTTTTGAAGTGTATATAATAAATTAACATAACTAACCATTCTAAAAAAATAATTAATAATTAGGAGAATTGTAAATGATCAAATTAAAATATCCACATATTATTAAAAAAAAAGTGATTTTTAGCCTACACTCTACCTCAGAATTCTGATTTACAACCTCCTTCTAGTCTACTAGTAGACCCTATAAACTACATTGTGCCCATGAATTTGACATCAATACACGGACAGATTCAGTCCATCCCTAAAAAAATCGTAACTCCACCTAGGGGTGGACTGAACCATAAAAACCCCTAAAAAAATAAAAGAATTCCCACTTGCATACTTTGACGGCCATCTTGAATAAATTGAGGTGATCACAGAGAGCAAGGAGGAGATCAACATTCCTAAGAAAGAGAGAGTTGTTCAATGACCAAATTTTGAAGCTGATATAAATTTAAGAAAAGGATATATGCTTTTCACTCTGACGATGTGTCATTTCAAGAAAACCGGACCCACATTTTCACAAATCAAGCCTCTAAACTCTAAAGTTATCAAGTTATAATTGAAGGAATAGCATTTGCATTCTAGAATCTTACATTTTCACACGCCCATCCCCTTTGGTGCAATTTTCATATACCTATATATAATACCCTTTTTATTTATTCAAGTTTGTATTTTATTTTTATAATATGTTAATTCATTAATATGTCTACATTCAAATTTTCTATTCTATCCTTTTACATCTCAATTTTAGCCATTGGTTCGGATTTTCGTATTATCTATAATATACCCCTTCCGTTTAGGCAAATTTCCACCTTATCTTTATAACCGATTATCTTATTAATAGGTTTATATTTAAATATATATATATATATATATTATTTTTATGATTTCTTATTCTATCCGTGTTTTAAACAATGATTTAAACTTTTATGTCTAAAATACCATTATTATTTGCATAATTTCCTAACTTTACGACATTAGTCAATGATTGGATTAAATCACACCCAACACTTAACATGCTTTAATCACACCCAGAATTAGTCAATGATTGAATTAAATCCTAACTTTACAGCATAGTTTCCTATCTTACACATTAGTCAATGATTGAATCATTTATTTCTCTCTCTCCACTATCTCCTCTTACACATGCTAATGTACGTGCCATGCCACTAGTTTCTATATAAGGTAAGGTGTCCTTGCTAGAGTTAACATGCCAAAGATATGGATTTGCCATTTATATGCATTTAACCCGATGAGTACTCACAACCGGATCCAACTCAACCTATTTAAGTTGATTCAACTAGTGATTCAATCCATTTCCAACCTGTTAAGTGCTCTATATAAATAAGACGGGTTGGGGTTCCATCCTCATTGTAACCCTTTTATCTAAAAGAAAACCTTGGGCTCAAAAAATTTCCATCTGTCCAATCTAAAAATCATTTTCTAATTAATGGCACATTTTGAAAAAATAAAAAAAAAATAATCTTTCAACTAATATGGCTAGGGGGAGTTCGGCTTCTGTCAAGGCAAAGCCCATTTGGGCAGTTTTTACTGTCTCGCATTGAGAATATCTCCGTATTTGTATATTTTATTTTATGGGGAGATATTTCTAATGTAAGATTGTAAAAGGCTGTTAGAATGGTATGGGCAAAGATTTGCCCTGATAGAAGCCGATCTCGATTAGAGGAAAGTTCAAAATGAGTGGTGCGAAAAGTTGAGATGAACCAAGAAAGTGAACACGTGGCAAGCGAGAAGGCCTATTATGTGATGGATGGTTTAAATCATTGACATCATCACTTCACCTGCCTACATCATATAGATCATGTAGAGAAGGAGCCTAGAGGCCCGATTAGCGAACCCAGATACATTCAATCAAGAGACCAAGACTCCGGATCTCCTGCCCACGTCTACCCACAACACATTATCCCTCATGAATTGGGAACATCTCTCCCTGCATAATATTATACAAGAGGATAAGATGTTCTCCATGTGTGGTTGCAATGTTATGTGGGTAGACGTGAACAGAGTTTGTGTGATGACTTATTTTTGGGGTTCAAAAGAAAACCTTTCATTACAACACATTATCCCTCGTGAATTGGAAACATCTCTCCCTACAAAATATTATACAAGAGGATAAGATATTCTCCATATGTGATTGCAATGTTATGTGGGTAGACATGAACAGAATGTTCTCCATATGTGATTGCAATGTTATGTGGGTAGACATGAACAGAGTTTGTGTGGTGACTTATTTTTGGGATTCAAAAGGAAACCTTTCATTCCTAGGATAAATCCATCACGTTGCAATACAATTGGAGAGCTGGTAGTATATTGTGCTGGCCGTGCTGAGCATTTCTTAGAAATGCAAGCCCAAGGCCCATCCTGATGCAGTTGAAATTCACGCTTAAACTGCTAACTAGGGGCCCATAATTGTTTATACATGTTCTCGTATCCACTCCAGACCCAAGACCACCCCAAAATCCTGTTTCATTGCTGGAATGGTTTGGGCTTATTTTACGACCCAAAGAATTTCGGTCGGGTTGAGTTTGTGCGGAGCAGGTGGGGGCTGGGGATGAGTTTGAGTATACGAGGAAGCCTAGATGCCTGTTTGGGAGGGCTGAAGCCTGAAGCACAGCAAGGTGGGACCCACAAAGATAACTTGGGATTGGGAGGGCCTATGCCTTGTGCATAAAAGGTCTTTTCACTCTCCACCTGTTTGGTTCAATTGAGAAATGGAATCCGTTGGAATGGATTTTCATTTCCAAACTGTTCGATTTCAAACCCCTATTCCCACTAACAAATGGACCCTTCATTCTTCCCAATGATCTGAAAAAATTGAAAAAAAAAAACAAAAGCGACAAATGGGATAGTTGTAAAAGGCTCGTATATAGCATGGCGTACATGGCTTCAACATTACAAGAATACTTACATGATCACATCCGAAAACCAAAGGAAATCGGTTCTACCAAACAAGGCTTTAATGAGCAATACAAATTAAAAGAACTCGTATAGCTGCACCTGCACCCTCTCATATATTAACGGCCGGGGAATTCCAAGCATATAATAGCATAGCGAGAGAAAGGAGGAGTGATTTAGAATATCTTAGCAACGTCCTTCATCAACCCACGGTTGGCGTTACAGAAATCGGTAAACTCCTGGAAAGAGATGTAGCCATCACCATCAGTGTCGATCTCAGCCATCATGCGTTGGATTTCCTCCGGAGTAGCCGCGCCCAATTGCTTCAAGGTTTCGCCAAGCTCGGCAGAGGATATCTGGCCGTCGCCATTGATGTCAAACCGCTTAAAGATTCTCTCCCTCATAGCCAAATCCTCATCGGCCATCTTGAATGTTGGCTTTGATATTTGGTTACTCTTTATGGGTTGGGGGAGGACAGGTTCTGTTCTGGGTTCAGATGTTAGTGAGAGGACGGTTATAAAGAGGTGTAATCTGAATTGTAGGATCTCCCTTGGGACTTCTCGGCTTCTGTCCTGGCTCTGCGCGGCGAGCGGATCGCTTGTTCACGTAGTGTTTTAGAGCATTCTTCGGTTGGATGTGAGGGTCTGGTCTTACAATTTGCCATTTCTCCACGTCTCTCGCGAGCATTCGAATTAGATGAAGTGACGTTTTGATGGAACCACATCTAGCTGCAAGAAAAAACTAAAATCGAACGGAACCGATGAGACTGAACCGAAAATTTCAGTTAATCGAACTAGTTGGTTCGTTATTTTAAAAAATCGAAGGTATCGCTTCAATTTCGGTTAATTCATTAAAAAAATTTTGATTAGTATACATACTAAATATAAATATTATATGTATATTATATATATTTTTTAATATTTTATATTATAGATTAATAAATATTTTTGGATATATAAATATGTATTTATATTATATAATATACTATTTATTATTTAAAATATAATATATATATATAACTGAAAAACCAATGAACCAAACAGATGGTTAATTGATTGGCTTTGGTTTAGTTTTGGTTACCAGTTTTCTAGAAACCAGTAGTACTGGTTTGGTTTCAAAAATAAACCTATGGTTCAATTAATCGAATCGTAAACACCCCTAATCACATCAATAAATCTAAGGTTATGATTTTCACATTTAACCATATCCTACTACAATAGTATCATAGCAAAAGTGAACTCTTTATATAATGGATTTTGATTCTAGAAGGAATAGGTGGCAAATTATTGGTTTTAGAAGACATTAGAGGGGCCCGTGCGATGCACAGGACGGGGCACCCCTCTTTGTCCCTCACCCCCTAATTAAGACACTCTACCCCATCCCCGCCTTGTCCCCGGTGGCAGGGTGGGTTCAGGGTGAGACACCCATTGGGAAATCCTCAATTTTTCCCCACCTTAACCACCTAAAAATAATCTAATTTGTGCATATTTTACAAATAGGATTATGGGAAATTTGGGGCATTTTAGGAATTGGATTGTGACAAATTTGGGGTATTTTATAAATGGAGTTATGGATTCTAAGATTATAAGTATACGAGGAAAACTTAGAGATATTTTAAAAATCAATATTAAGTCTATGGATATTTTTCTAATTTAACATCAGGTTCGAGAAATTATATGCAAACCACAACCCTTCCCCTACCCTAATTTGGGGCAAAAATATTTTCCTTGTCCCCACCATGCCTCTGCTCCATCCCCATTTAAGATTTGAGAAAACTCACCATGTTTGGGGTGGGGCAGGGTAGGGCCCCAGTTTTACAGGAAAATTTGTCATCCCTACAATTATAATAATTTTCTATAACTAATTAACTAATAGTAAATTAAATAACAATAAATTACAATATAATATGACAATTTCCAAAAAGTATTGAAATTGCTTTTGATTAGCAGTAATGTACAGTAAATTAATTATTTATGGTAACAATTAATTAGTGCGAATTAATGTAAATTATTTACTTTTTAAGCCTAAATTATTAAATATTAATAATTTTTTTAAATTATTTAATAATTAGTTATTTAAATAATAATAATAATGGATTGTTATTTAAATAATCATGAAATAATTTCTGATAGATTAATTTCCTAATTTAATTTTCCTAAATTTTTAACAATTATTTAATTAAGTAATAATAATAGATTATTATTTAAATAGTTTTGGAGAATATTTTTTCGTAGATTAATTTCCTAATTTTTTAATTATAAATTATTTAAAAAACAATTATGTATTATTAGTTAAAAAGTTTCCCTAAATTATTTGATGATTGTTATAGAAATTAGTAAGTTACGCTATAATTATTCTAAAAACTTAATGAAAATTTATTAAATTACAATGATTAATGTAAATTACGCTAAACATTGAAATTTTGAACATTTATTAATTAAGCAAAAATTATTAAATAATGGATTGTTTATTAATTTCTGGTTAGTTAATTTTGGAAATTGTTTAATATTTTTAAATAATGGGTTGTTTCTGAAAGAATTATTTCATAAATTTTTGGTACATTATTTTCCAGAATTTTATAATTTCATAACTAATGGATTATTATTTAAGAGAGTAAATTATTATTTGCTAAATAATTATTGAATTACTATTTAGTAATCATTGATCAACTATTAGTCATTGAAGTGTCACTATTAGAGAGGGAAAGGGGAGTGATGAGGTGGTTTTATGAGGTAGTAAGGAAGGCTAAAATAAGAGTTCTCAATTGGGGTAAGGGAGAAAGCTTAAGCCATTTGACATGGCATATTTTTCTTTACTAAAATACCCCTCCTCTTGAATTTAGTTCATCTCCATTGAAAGAGCAGAAAATGTAATTAAAAGAATACCATTAAGTACATTTAATTACCTCTCATTAAGTCTCATATTTAAGCCATTAAATAAATCACATTCTTTCTCATTGGATCCAACATGTATACTTTTGTTTATCATCATTAAATTCCACTAATAAATCCATACACAATAAATATTAATAGAATGAAATTTTATATTTTTAAAATAAACATAGAAATGGAATCATATTTTTTATCTAGGTGGTGGGTAAGTAGTTCAACCATTTGGATGAAATGGATAATTTCATGTTGTTATAAATAAATAATACAAATTTAGAAATATAAAAAATACTTTTGTTTATCATGATTAAATTTCACTTATAAATCCATACATAATAATTATTAATAGAATGAAATTTTATATTTTCAAAATAAAGTTAGAAATGAAATCATATTTTCCATCTAGGTGGTGGATAAGTACTTCAACCATTTGGGTCAAATGGATAATTTCATGATGTCATAAATAAATAATACAAATTTATAAATATAAAAAATATAGAAAAAATTTTGAAAAAAATTGGACACGTTTCTATTATTATATATTTGTCATATTAAAAAATAAGTATGATAAAATAGACAAAATTTTATTAATGATGGACATCAAATATACAACTTAAAACCGATGGGAAATTAAACTGTCTTCTTATCTAGGGGGTGGGTTAGTGGTTCAACCTTTCAGGTCAAATAGCTTAACCCATGATGTATAAATAAAAATAGAATAGTACAAGAAAAAATGAAACAATTTTGGGCACATCTATAATACTATATGCTAATAATATAAACAAAAATAAGTATGATAAACAATAATTAGTTTATATGAAATGCAAAATATAAAACCAATTTGAAAATTAAACAATTTTCATATCTATATGGTAGTTAGGTCAATGATCTAACATTCTAGGTCAAATGGATCTCTCTCTCTCTCTCTCTCTCTCTCTCTCTCTCTATCTATCTTTCTATCTATCTATCTATCTATCTATCTATCTATCTATCTATCTATATATACATATATATATATATATATACATACATACACTCAAAGAAAAATATAAGCTTTGTATAAAGCATTTTGATATAGTTCTATTGTAATATATTCACCATATTAAACAACAATAAATGTGAAAATAAGAATTACTTTTACCGATGATGAAAATGGAATACATGATTTAAAATCAACCGAAAAAGAAAAATGGTTTTTCCATCCAAGTGGTGGGTTAGTAGTTAAACTATCCATGTCAAATGGATCAACACATGATATTATTATTAAATAATAAAATACATAAAATTCTAGAAAATTAGAAATTTGTCGATAATTTTGGGCACATTCTATAATATTATATGTTTATCATATAAAAAGTGTGATTAATGAGAATTATTTTCAGTAACGATAAAAATGGGATAAAAATTAGGATAAAAAAATAAAGAGCATTAATGTCTAACACATGACCTAACTAACCATGTCAAATGGTTCAATAATTTAATTAGCTAGGTCATCATAGGCAAGTGGTTTGGTCGGGATGCAAACAAATCATATCAGATTTGAATCAGGGTATATTCAAATCTAATATGATACAAAGATTCAACCAGACCTCATAAATATTGATTCGAATCTGAATCCGATCAAGATGTCGGATATTCGAATATGATACGATCTAATTTAATTTAAAAATAATAATAAATTATTAAAAGAAAAAAGGAAAAAGAAAATATAACAGTTGAAATAAACAAACAAAAAATATAAGTATTTTTTAAACTATTTCTGTCATATAAAAAGTTTACAAAAATTCAATATAAATAACATATTTATAAATAAATAATAAATAGGGATGTTCACGGGTCGAGTTGGGTCGGTTTACACGGGTTTTCCCAACCAACCCGACCTGGTCGGGTTACATGAGGTGGAAACCGAAACCGACCCACTGATAGGCAAAACCGACCTAGTCGGTTTGAGTCAGGTTGGGTCGGTTTCGGTCGGTTTTGGTTTTGCTCCTGTACAAAAATGATAGAGAAGCCTAGAACTAGAAGGACACCTAATTCTAATTGTAATTGCCTAATGGGTTGCCTATTTGGTGTAAAAGACTATAAAAATTAGGATAGTAGAAGACTAATTAAGTAGGAACTAGAAGATAGGGTTGTTCTAGTTCTAGTAGAAGACTAGTTAAGTAGGAAACTAGGAACTACTGAACAAGAAAACTAATTGGTTCGGTTTGGTTCGGGTCGGTTTCGGTTTCGGTTTTCACATAAGAAAATCAAAACCGACCCGATATATCGGTTTATGATTTTTCCCAACCCGAAACCGACCGGTGCTGATGAAAACCCGGCCGACTCGGGTTGGATCGGTTCGGGTTGGTCGGTTTGGGCCTTCTTATGAACAACCCTAATAATAAATAACACATATATTACATATAAATAATATACATAAATACTATATATATAAATAATTGATTTGACCACAATATTAACAACCAGTGCTCAAACAATATATTGGAATTGCATTTCCTCTTGGTAAATAAGTAATTTTTATTATCTCATTAATT